TTCAATTAAGTGGGTCTGAAGCATAAGATGTTTTAAGTTAAGATGCTGTATTAAGTGCAAGAGGATGGGATAAAACACTAATAAAATAAAACATAAACTGATTTAACAGCTGGATTCTGTAGAATGATACTGTCGATGGGCTACTTAAACAGAACAGCACAAACTCACCTTGTTATTTAGATTTTTCTCCTCAATATTGTATCTTCAGCATTTGCACTTTCCCACCCTCTGTTAGGGTATTCTGACTGATGTCCTTCCAGTAAACTGCTACAAAGTTTAAGCCTACAAAAAATAAAACCAGAACACAGAGACTAAGTGGCTTTACTATGGTAACTTTTCAATACTAAATACAGTTACAATCCATTTAAATTAACACAGACTGTAACATGAAAACGGAAGGACAGAATTTTACCACACAACAAATAAATATTACATATTCATATAATTTAGATGTCCTGTATTTCTATGTAATTTCTATGTTTAAACATAGGTATCAACACATCTCAAAAACAAATAGTAAAACTAACTAAATACAAATTAAAAATCAAATGTTTATAATAAATGCTTTGATTGAATTACAGCAAAAAGCAACTAAGCTGCTAAAATAACATGCAAAAAATATCCCTGAAACCCAACTGATGAGCAGTATTTGATACCTCTCCAGCCTGCAGTCTGCATCTCTGCAGGGCTTGCTGTCAGGCAGAAAGAAGCTGGATAGCTTCTGATTTGGAGTGTTCCATCCTGGAGAACAACTGGCTGCAATCGGGTCACTGCATAAAAAGAAACAACCATCACTGTTGTCACTACAAAACAACTTAATCTCTGGAGAGACAGAGAGGAAGCTTCCAGCTCTCAGACCAAAGAAGTGAGAGGCAAACTTCCAATTCTTTCCACAAGACAGAGTATGAAAGGGGCTCATCATTTTCCAGCATTACCTGGGATGGCAGAGACAGCAGAAAGCAAGAGATGGAGAGTCAGACAGGAAAAAGCCAACTCAAAGAACAGAAATAACAACCATGCCATGTGCTGGAGGAAATGGAAGAAGGCAAAAATAATTATAAAAAAAAAAGTAGTAGTAACCAGTGAAGGAAAAGATTAAAAAGAACAGAAAAGGACATCTTTACAGCATAAGCAATAAACAGAAACAACAACATAATCACTGGGGTACTCACGTTGTTATTTCTATGCTTTGTTGTACTGTCATTAATTCATCTTTTTCACCAAAGGCTTCCCAATCTGAGCACTTTGAATAAGCCCCCTGATGTCCTAAGTCAGTGAGGCTGGAAAGAAAATGAAAATGTCTGAATCCATGCACTGTGGTAACACATTTCCTATTAATTTTTCAGAGGGGGACTAAGAAGAGAGAAGAAACCATACTTGTATGAACATTTTTACTAAGGTTAGTGTGAAATGTCTACTAAACTGCCAAAACCCTTAGTGTTGCCTAAATCTACACACACAAAATACAACCTGTGCTGTGTCTTCTGACACTTTGCAATGGAGCACTGTAAATATTTGCTATCATACAGCACAGTTATTCCAACATGATTTCCCTTCCTCATTAATTGGCACACATTTAGATAAAATTAAAGCTATTAACAAAGGGAGGGGAAAATACCAGTCATATTCCTGAAGCCAGTTCATAATATCAAAGAATTCCCACATGGAGAATCATTTCATACCTTTCCAGTGTTTGGTACATCTGAAGATAATGGCTTTTGCTCTCTGAAACCACAGAGGAGTCAGAATTGTTTATTTTTCTGCGTTTCCATACTGGAGAAGAATCGGGAGAACAGGAACTGCAAAAATAGATTTTAGACACATAACATTTTTCACCTATGTTTAAACATTTAGCAGTGTTCTGCTAAATAATAGCACATGCTACAGAGGAAGTTTTCTTTTGAGCTATGATTCTTCAGTCACACAGAGGAACACTGAGCAAAGCGCTCACATTTTGGAAGCCAAACCATTTTGAGCTCCACACACGTTCCCCCAAGGACAAGATATTTCAGTAAACAGGGAAGTGCATGTCACAGTCAGTCTCCCTGCTGTTCAGCAGACAGGCACAATATGACTAAGATGGGGACTCCTGCTTCTGAAAAAGCTCCCCTACTTTCAGAACATTCCAGCAGTGGTTAAAGAAACCTCAGTACTCCACTGTATAAACTGTGAAGCTAAAAAAACACTGCATTTCCTTCTGCTAAATCATGTAATTCCTCAATGCTGTTTTCTTTTTCCATATTCAGTGCTCTGTACCATCGATGGATTGCGATCAACAGCAAAAGTGTCAAACTCCAAAGCTGAGTATGAACTGCCCTTCCACACTAAACATTTCCTACAACAACCTGACAGCACTGACATGTACTGAATTCTTTCCCTAAGTTAAGCACAGAAGTTTCCTCTCATACCTCTCAGGTGTGTAGTAGGCAGTCTGTCTACATTCATCTTCACACTCATTTCTCTTCTGCTTTTTGTCAAACACAAAGGAGCCAGAAACATCCTCATCTTTGCAGAACCGTTCCTGGGAACTACCTGAAGGTTCTGTACTGCTAAACATAGGAGGAAAAAAAAAAGCTTTCAAAAAATACAGTTTACTTTTCCAAACTGAAAACAGTTAAGCTGCAGCAATAATTAACAGTTCATCTAACATGATACCCAAATGGTGTAAAAACTGCAACTTCTACCACAGGTCAATTACAACTCAGGTAAAACTATTTAAACAGCTAAGAATTCCATTCACTCTTTTCCCAATTTACTAGTCCAAATCTTGTAAAGCATGAGGTGGCATTAAGCAGCAGAGCCAGCCCTGTTACAGAAATTCAGAGCTGTGAAAACAAAAATATTTCCTTCTTGAACACAGTTGCCACCATCCTACAGAGAGCACAGAAATCTCTCTCATCTTCCTAAACATCTCAAATCCTCTAACATATTGTCACTCTAGGAGACCTGTGGTTCCACTGACATCAGGAAAAGGAAAGAGGGAAAGTTATCAAAGTCAAGGACCAGTAATTGCCAAATTTCTGCTTTTGTCTCTCGCTTTTGGGAACCGTAATGTTACCTTGTGCCCACCAGTGCAAATACAAAGCGGGAGGGAATGTACTGCTGCAGGCAGAACAAATGCCTTTCTCCCCATAACACCTGACTGCACATTAACTTGGACTAAATAACTGGAATGTCTTGGAGACTGAGAATTCCAGTGGAAAACAATGAATTCAAGAAGACTCCCATTTTTGAGTCGGATCTTTTTTCTCCCAGTCAGAAATGCTCTAAATGAACTACAGAACCCTCCTTAAATCTCTTAAGCTCTGACTTAATTCACCCATGTAACATACACGGGCTGCAGATCCCAGGTTTCTTCAGCAGGAGGATCCCAGGCATGCAGGGCTATCTTCCACAGCTTGATCTGCCGGTCCCAGGACCTACGGCTGTACTTCTTAAACTTGTTGGGAGTTCTAGGGTGAACTCCCGGAATTCGCTGGTTCCTGTCAATACACAGTAACATTTAATGTTTCAGAACATAAGGAGCTTTTTCCTTAAAAAGAATCCTTAGCCTGTCAGGGTCACACAAGCATTGGTGGTCTAATGAATAAAATGTTTATATTTTTAAACACTTCACAGAAATGTGTATAAGACATTATCAAAAATAGATCACAAGAGCAACAACTAATGTGCTGAGTCAGACTGGAGGCTCATCCAGTCCAGCACTCTGACAGCTGCCAAAAGCTGATCCTTATTGCCCATGAACAAAGACAAAACAGAAGCATAACTCATACTGCTTCAACATTATCCTAACCTCCAACTCCTTCCACTTTACTTTTGCAATTGACAAATTCCAGCTTCTTTTATTTAGCACTGCACTGAGCCTGTTGAAGACGGAGTTACCTGCCCCCACAGCAGTCCCTGTAGTGCTGTGTTTTGCACTGATTGCTGAAACAGTGCTGATAACCACACTGATTTTTGGGCATTACTGAACAGTGCTTGCACAGCTTCAAGGCATTCTCCTTTCTCCGCCCCACAGACACTAAGGTGAGAGTGGACACTAAGTTGAGAGGGAAAAGTGCTGGGACAGCTGACTCAAATTACCCAGAGATATCACACATCACATAATATCACACTCAGCAATAAAAACCTCAGGAAGCATTTGAAGAGAACTAAGGCTGTGTGCTATTCTACGCAAACACACATCCACAACCACCCACCCACCAGGAAGAAATAAGAGTACACTTGGAAATCTGTAACACAGTGCCACTTACTTTGGGACTTCTTTAATGTATCTGTCATATGCAAGGGTATTCTTTCCAAAATTGATCTGTTTCTGTCTCCTCCTCAGGACCACTTCATCAGTTTCCCTTTCCTGTGGATTACCAGTGTTGCTTGAAACAGAACTTGAAAAGGAAAGTAAGAATTAAGTTAAAAAGAACCTTAATAGCTTTATAAGAAGTTAGATGAACACACATTCTAGAACTGTCCTGTATTCTTACTGATAAGACAGCGAGCACAAATTTTGCCTCAGTAGTTCACAGAAATGAAAGCTGTGCTAATCAAATCTGAGTATCAAAAAAATACAATGAAGTAGCTTTTGAGATAAATTTTCTCAGTGCTACTCCCTCCATAAGTCTTTCTTGAGGCTTGACATGAAACAGCCTGTCTGTGGTTTCAAATCTTCATTAATGCATGTAAAGGAGTCAAAGATCATCAGATCATTATTGTTAAAACCAATGCAACAAAAAGCAGTAATAGTTCAAGACCTACTCAGTCATATTTTTGTTTGATGTCCTCATTGTTTTGTCTTCTTCAATTGTACCTTCCCAGCTGGGGCAACTGGAAAGCGGCTTAGAGTGTTCTGATGTTGTAGAGCTAGAAACAAATGGGAATTCAACATGAAAGTTTGCTGCTTGTAACACATTTAATCAACAGAAACAGCAATAATGGACAAAACCAGCTCCATAACTGTCAAACTATAGGCATGAATCCCCAACTGATGAG